AATCCATATGGCTTAGTCAGCAGGTGCTATAAACCCCAGTCTGCAATCGGTCATGAGCTTTCCATGGTTGCACCATGCAAGCACAGAAATTGGTACTGTTGCACATTGTTCAGCCTCAGGAAAATATCAGTGTTGTTAAAAGAAAGAAAGAAAGAAAGAAAGAAAGAAAGAAAGAAAGAAAGAAAGAAAGAGAAAGAGTCACTAGACCTTAAAACTGCAGAAATAGACTTGAAAACGTATAGGCAATAACTGATTAAATTTCAAAAGCCAGAATGGGTCTTCTGACCATTAGGACCAAAATGTGGATATTCTTCATAGCTCCTTTCTATTGCTTGCAAAAGCAGAACAAAGTACACTATGTAAATATATTCAGGTGACCCTCATTTGCATAAGTTATGTACATTACAGAATTTGGGTTGCCTCGATGCAGAATGTGAGAGCCAGTACAGTATGTTGGACTACGAATCTGGAAAATCCAGATTCAAATCTCTGCTAGGACATGAAGTTCGCTGAATGACTTTGGGTCAATCGCCGTCTGTCAGCCTAAGCTCCCTCACAGGATTGTTGTGAGGATAAATTGTGGAAGAGGAAGAGCTCCTTGGAGGAAGAAAGTGATAAAATAAAACGCAAGCCCTCCATTTAAGTTTCCAGGCCTGACCTTGCAGACTTGCATCAGCTTAAAACTAGTGTGGGAGTCAGCAAGACCTAATGGAGGACAAGTACTATTTAGGGGAATGTAGATAAGGCAGTAATATTTTATCCCTTATTAATTAATCTGGAATAGCTACCATTTTTCATAGTTCAGCGACTCAGGGTTGCTAATTCAGATTAGAATCTTCACTCCCCACAAATTAGGAACCCCTAATGGCGTGAAAAAGAGTTAGGTTCAAGGAATTAAACTGAAACTGCCTCCTGTACTGTAGATTCCTTTTCAATGCACATTTGTCTACAGTACTCTCTTTCTTAACTCCTCTCTCAAAATAGTAAATGTAGCATCTGGATTCATGATTATCATTTGACCTTGTTCACCGCTAGCATCTTTAACTAAGCTCTTAAAACTACAAGAGATGCTGGGCCCTCCAAACACAACGGATTTACTGTTTCAGTAAATGGAAGGACAAATATGTCGCAACACATTCATTCAATAGGTTGTTATTTTCCATGAGTTTGCTGCTGGAGCAGCTTGATTCAGAGGGATAGAAATGGAAATAAGGCAACTTTGTGGAGGTAGCCCTGCAAGCATGAGGCAAAAGGAGATGATTGCCCAAGGAAGAAATTCGCGGTGAAGTAAAAGGGGGCAGCAAAGGGGGAAAGGAGAGAGTTATGACCCATGATGGGGCAAATCGTGTCCTTCATCATGGAAGGCACGTGTTGCGGTGAGATCACCATAAACTGCCTCCCTGTGGTGGGGCAGGACTGTTTGGATGGCCACAACACCCCATTGGTTGCCCCCGGTTGCTAGGGCAGAGATTTGACTAACTGGGATGGCTATTGGCTGCCGGGGGGCTATATAAGTTGCTGCACGTCGCTGGAGAGTTTCACTTTCTTTTGACGTGCAGCGGATCATCCACCTTCCCCTCCCTTTAGTTTGTTCTTCTGACCTTGCTATGCCTGTCTAGGGGTCGTCTGTTTTTGGAGCAGGGGCCCGATTGGAATTTTTCCATTTGGCCGATTGGTTGCTGCCCCTTGGATTTTGCCTACTGTGTAACAAATTGTGTCCTCCAAATCATGGAGAGCCACGTGTTGCGGTGAGATCACCAAACTGCCTTCTTGTTCCTGGGGCGGGCCCGTTTGGATGACCTCTGCACCTCATTGGTTGCCTCTTTGTTACTGGGGGAAATTTTCTATAGGTTGGGCCTTGATTGGCAACTAAGGGGCTATTTAAGGGGCTGCACGAAGCGAAGTACTTTCTCTTTTGCATCGTGCAGCGGATCTCCCGCCCTCCCTCCCTATAATTTAAGGTTGTGTTTTTAACCTTGCTATGCCTATCTAGGGGTCATCTGTTTTTGGAGCAGGGGCCCTGTAGGAATTTTGCCACTTGGCTGATTGGCTGGTGCCATTTGGTATTTGCCTACTGCATAGCAAATCATCAGAACTTTGTAAGGTTGGCTGTTAGGCATTGGTTCATTCTTTGGAGGAGGGGATTATGGATTGGCTGTGCCTGCCCCTCATTTTTTGTTTCTGATGCTAGGGAATTCCATTAAAGGAATCCAGGGTCTTGCCTTGCTTTTGTCCGAACCCTGTCAAGGGGCTAAGGCCATGAAAGAGCCCCTGGGAACATGTGGGGTGAGCTGTGAGATCAAAGCCAGCTTCTCGCTCCCCCAGGATGCTTTCCCTTACTGACATATGGTGGTACCCAGTTTCAGTCTTGTTCCTGCCACCGTGCAGGTTCAGGTAGTATGGAACCAATGCCTAAGCAACCACTCACATGCGGTAATCAATACAGTTGTGGCCTAAATTAATGCCCAAAACCTTAAAACTAAATTCAGTGTCTATTGTGTCTTTATTTTGGGGGGTGGTTTGGGGGTCTTCACACACAAAATCCACGGAAACATCTCTTGTGAAACATCCCCAATGGAATGTGTAGAAAAGGAGCACAACTTCTCCCTTTCATTTCAATGGGGGCCTTCAAAATGACATGGACTATCTCTGCTCTGTGTGAGTTCTGTATACATTTAACCATAAATCCATCCTGTCCCATTTCCTGTGAATTTGTGTTGTTGTTTTTAATTGCATGAAACCCATTGGGTTGTATCCAACACTCATCATACTCAGAGTAGGCCCTTTGGGATTAATAGACCTGGTTAACTTCAGTCTGTTAATTTCAATGGGTCTTCTCTGGGTAGAAGTCCTTTGGATGCAGCCCATCTTTGCTACAATTGCAAGTGTCTGGGGAGATTGCTTGACATTGCTTGGGACTGAACCTCCAGAATCACAGGAGGGTATAGGCGCCTTCATACTGAATCAGGACATTGGTCAGTTTGGCCCACCAGTATTGCCTACTCTGACTGGCAGTGGCTCTCCAGAGGTCTTTCCCAGTCCTATGTTCTGAAATGCTTTTTTTTTTTTACTGGAGATGATGTGGGTTGAACCTGAGACCTTATGCAAGCAAAGCATTTGTTCTGCCACAGAGTTATGTGCATGCAAACCATCACTGTGCCCCCATCAACAGGAGAGATTTCTACAGATTTCTGGAACCATTACAGACCTTCCTGCAGTCCTTCTCCAACCTGGTACTCTCCAGATGTTTTTGACTGTCCCTACATGAACCTACCTGGACCCTGTGTTCATCATCTGAGGCTCTTATTTGTGTGTCCCCTCTAGGAGGTTGCGGAGGGTGTCAGTGTGTGGCCGGGCCTTCTTAGTGGTGGCTCCTTGCCTGTGGAATGCTTTCCCCAGAGAGATGTGCCTGGCATTGTCAATGTTTAGGTGCCAAGTGAAAACATTTTTATTTACCCACGCATTTTGCTCACAATTGGTGTTCACCTTTTAGTTGGATGTGTTCTTTGTATGTTATGGCAGGATGAGCACTTTCAGTATTTTATCTTTTGGTGTATTTTAATTTGGTATTTGTACTTCTAAAAAACTGTAAGTCACTTTGAGACTTTTTTTTTGTAGTAAGTAGCAAACAAAGATAAGTAAATAAACAATAGTTATTTATTACACATCTAGCTTGCTTTTTCTCCCAAAGTAACACAGCGGCAAACAACACAATAAGAAAACAATGCAGTTTAAAATGAAATGAAAAACGTATTTAAATCATTTAAGAACATCTAAAAACACTAATAACATTTCAAAACATTTAAACTTAAATCATGTACCCTCACAGCTAATGACTTCAGGGTTGCCAGAAACAGTATATTTCAGTCATCAAATGCCTGGGTGAACAGGAATGTTTTTTTTTAAATCCCCCTGAATTTTAAAAAGAGGGTAGATAGATACACCTAGCAGGGAGAGCATTCTACAAATGGGGTGTCACCACCAAGAAGACCCTGTCACGGTCAACGCCAACCAGGCTGCACCCAGATTATACATGACATCTATAATGCAGCTGTTTGTGGGACGGACGTCTTCTTCATTCTCATCCACAGAGTTCTGTGATGTTTTCAGAGCTGAAGTGCAGCAGAGGCCTGTGATGGGCAGCGTGTGTTTTAAGTCCCTCTCTTTCCATCTCTCTGTCTGTCTCTAGGATATGCTGCAGAATTCTCCTAACTCAATGACTGCAGTATCCGGCAACCCCCAAGGAATCGTGGTGCCCGCATCAGCACTGCAGCAGGGGAACATCTCCATGACAACAGTCAACTCACAAGTTGTGTCAGGTGGGAGGCGTGGAGCGTACGTCTGACCATGTTAGTCGCGTCTTTTGCATGCTTGGTATTTTTAAACTCCCTCAGATAGTTAGCTTTGAATTGTGCATAATCGTGAGGAAAACCTGGGGAAACTGGCTGCGAAAAAAACCCACACCTCTCATTGCACTCTCCATTCCCCTCTTAAAAGCCACCACCATTCGCCCACAGAACCACTCTAATATCTCTCTCACATAACTACAGAACTTCTAACACACAAATCACTTGACATGTGCATTGTTGGGCTTTTTTGTAATATTTCAAGGGGGTTTGAACAGCCCGTTTACCTGAAGGAGCGTCTCCACCCCCACCATTCAGCCCGAACACTGAGGTCCAACTCCGAGGGCCTTCTGGCGGTTCCCTCACTGTGAGAAGTGAGGTTACAGGGAACCAGGCAGAGGACCTTCTCAGTAGTGGCGCCCGCCCTGTGGAACACCCTCCCATCAGATGTCAAGGAAATAAACAACTATCTGACTTTTAGAAGACATCTGAAGGCAGCCCTGTTTAGGGAAGTTTTTAATATCTGATGTTTTATTGTGTTTTTAATATTCTGTTGGGAGCTGCCCAGAGTGGCTGGGGAAACCCAGCCAGATGGGCGGCGTATAAATAAATTATTATTGTTATTGTTACTACTACTACTTTCTGTCTGTCAGTGGAGGGCCACAGCTCAGTGGTAGAGCATCTGCTTTGCATGCAGAATGTCCCAGGTTCAATGCCTGGCTTTTCCATACAGGGCGGAGAGGTACTCCCTGCCCAAAACACTAGAGGCCTACTGCCAGTCAGTGTAGACAGTAGATGGACCAACAGTCCTAGTAAAGATTCCCAGAAAATGGTCTCATCTGGTCTCCTTGCACTGTTTCTTGAGGATGCCGGCACGTCTGTTAGAACCATGCCTCTTTGAAACCCCTGAATTCCATATGCACCCAAGTGTTATAATGAGTGAAGTGAGCAAACAGGCAGAATGTCTTCCGGTGGCAAACCAGACCCTGCCCACTGTCGGTGGCTGGCATCCTTGTGGAGCCGCGCCTGCTCTTCCCCCTCTCCTCCCACCCCACTATTTAATTTTTTTCCACAGCACCCTAAAGCAACACTAAGTTACTTGGTGGGACTGTGGGAAGTTTAAAATTGTGGCTTCCCAGGGATTGCTGCTGTAGTCCTCATGGTACGGCAGCATGGCTTACCTGGCTTCCCAGTCCCAGAGTCATTGCCAGTTACCAAGGGAGGGTTTAGGAGGTTGGTGCAGTGGAGGTGCAGTGGCAGGAATGGTGGTTTGGCTCTGCCACTGCGCCCATACCACACCAGTGACCCCAGAATTTGGAAACCAGCTAAGAAGTGTCACTGTGGCCTGATAGGTATCAGGGCCTGGAGATGGCTCTGATTCAAATCAAGTCAACGTGTGGGATGGGATCGTTCCCACTGGCCCCTCCGTGTGCTACTTCCCTGCAATAAGAGAGAGTACAGATTGCAGAGAGAATCCAGTTTGCACATGGATAGACCCTGTGCAGGCTCTGTTTGTGCTTCCCCCTCCCTTGTCCACACATTGACTTTACCTGAATTGCCATCTGAATAGGGCTAGGAGCTCGTGAGCAATTGTTATTCAAGAAGCATTCTCTTGTCAGGAAAGGGACACAGGGGCCTCGCTTTCGATTCTTGCTGTACTCCTTCCCGGCATGAAAATGGTGGATCGGGATCAGGCCTTTTGCTTTGTAATTGAGACCAAATCAGATTTACACACACACACTCTCTCTTCCTGCTGAAATGTCACAGCATTCCTGTATCTGCAGCAGATTATTCTTCCCAGTCCCATCTCATCCCATCCCACCTAGTTTGGTGGCAGAGCATCTCCTTTGCATGCAGAAGCTCTACGGTCCAATCCCTGGCATCTCCAGGTAGGGCTGATTGAGACCCCTGCCTGAAATCCTGGAAAGCTTCTGCAAGTCAAGATAAACAAGCGATAGATGCACTGATGGTCTCACTTGACATGACAGCTTCCTTTGTACCAGAGCATGGACTCTGGTGGTTTGCAGAGTCTCCCTTCCCCGTCTAAAAGTGTTGCCACTTTCTTCTCCGTTCCTATCAAAATGAAGCCAAATTCAGATGAATCGTTTTAAATGTCCTGGAAATTATAATAATAATAATAATTTTTTATTTATACCCCGCCCTTCTGGCTGGGTTTCCCCAGCCACTCTGGGCAGCTTCCAACAGAATATTAAAATACAATAATCTATTAAACATTAAAAGCTTCCCTAAACAGGGCTGCCTTCAGATGTCTTCTAAAAGTCTGGTAGTTGTTTTTCTCTTTGACATCTGGTGGGTGGGCGTTCCAATGGGCGGGTGCCACTACTGAGAAGGCCCTCTACCTGGTTCCCTGTAACTTGGCTTCTCACGGGGAGGGAACCACCAGAAGGCCCTCGGTGCTGGACCTCAGTGTCCGGGCAGAACAATGGGGGTGGAGACACATTCACCTCCCTGAAACTTTTTATTATTATTGATTAATTTGTATTTGTATATTATGTGACATAGGTTAGGCTAAGAGACGACGACTGACCTAAGGTCACCCAATGAGTTTCATGGCTAAGTGGGGATTTGAACTCTGGTCTCCCAAGCCCTAGTCCAACAAGCTTACCATTACACCACACTGGCTTAGACTGCGGTGGATATGTGTTCATATTACTTTCACCACACCAGCAGTGCAATCCTATGCATGTCTGTTGAGAAGTTAGTTCCACTGAGTTCAGCAGAGCTCAGTGAGTGTGTGTGTCCATAGGACTGTAGCCTTAGAATGATACATCTCCCTTCATCTTCACCTGGGCCAGGAAACCTGTGGCCCTCCAGATGTTGTTCGACTACAGTACACATCATCCCTAACCATTGATCATGATGCAAGCTGGAGATCAATACCATATGGAGGGTCTCTGGTTTCCCATTCCTGCCTTAAAGCCTTTATGTCTGTCTTCATCCTTAAACTGTCTTTTTAAAATATATTTTTTTCTAAGAAAGAACAGAAGTAAATAAAACAAAATAAAGTTTCTTAGTTCCAAAGAAGACCAGAAAATGCAATAAGCCAAACTGGGCACTGCCATCTATTAAGACAGATTGTCATAGAATGAACAAAACAACAGCTAACAGGCTGAATTGAGAAATGCTATACCAAAGTATTGTTCATATAAGAAATAAGTGTAAAGCATCTGTCAATCAATATATGAGTCTGATTGTGTTTGTCCATCAAATGCCTGTATTTGTTCAGTCAATTTCTCCATCAAGGCTAAATCCTAAATCCTTCTGTATCACTTTATCCGTTGATGAGCAAATTCTTACTGGTTTGCTAAAAAGACCAAACAAAAAAAAGTTGCCCATGACATTTGTCTTCACCCTCCAAATGCCTTCTTATGGGGGTTCCTGCAAGAAAAGTCTTGTGGCTTTAGCGGGGTGGGCATGATTCTGTTTATTTTTCCTCGTGTCTCTCTGAAAATACACTAAATCCAAATAATGGATTTAGATCCATTATGTTTGGCTGGTCCTGATTTCTAAGACCATTTGACAGCCTATGGGATCTTTCAAGTGAATATGACTGTGGGGATCCCTTCCGATACAGGTTTCCCCCACTGAACTTTCGATTCAAATGCATGAGGCTGGTTGAAACTTCTTCTTTTTTCTGTTCTGCCGATAGATTTCAGCTGTCTTCCTAAAATTCTGCTGTGAAATCCTGTCTCTTTGCCAGGTGGAGCCCTTTACCAGCCTGTAACTATGGTAACGTCTCAGGGCCAGGTGGTAACCCAAGCAATCCCACAGGGAGCCATTCAGATCCAGAACGCGCAGGTAAGACCAACCGCCTAAGAGACCTGGGGAACCAAAGAGGGTGAGGAGATCACTTAAGCTCTGGTTTGTTTTGAAGCATTCAAAATGGAAGTCAGTCTAAGACTTCGCAGATCAGGATCTATCCTCTCAGGAGAATGTGGCGTAAGATTCATTAGGGGTGGTATTAAGCTGCCACATTCAAAACAGGGCTGTTTCTCCTGGCAGAGGATCTTCTTCCAATGAATATATGTGGAAATGCTGTTTCAGAATGTGGCTCTTTGGATAGGGATGCGGGTGGCACTGTGGTCTAAACCACTGAGCCTCTTGGGTTTGCTGATCGGAAGGTTGGCGGTTCGAATCCCCGCGACGGGGTGAGCTCCCATTGCTCTGTCCCTGCTCCTGCCAACCTAGGGGTTCAAAAGCACGTCAAAGTGCAAGTAAATAAATAAGTACCACCACCGCGGGAAGGTAAACGGCATTTCCGTGCGCTGCTCTGGTTCACCAGAAGCGGCTTAGTCATGCTGGCCACATGACCCGGAAGCTGTACGCCGGCTCCCTCGGCCAATAAAGCGAGATGAGCGCCACAACCCCAGAGTCGGTCACGACTGGACCTAATGGTCAGGGGTTCCTTTACCTTACCTTTAACCCTCCAGGGGCCCTTTACTTTTTTAACCTACCTTGGCTAGGCCCAGGTCTACATAGCTTTAGCAAGGTGGTGGCCTCATATGCCTTCAAAGCATAATTTGTAACTACCCATTATGGAAGGGAAGCAAGAACGCTATGCTTTAACATGACCTGTAGTTCCACCCCAAGGTGATAATGGGAGAAGTGTACAAATCACTGGCCAAGCCGTTTCTCTAATACCACCATGGGAGATTTTGGTGGGTGGCCTCAGCCCCAGGATCTTTTGCAGTTGGCCCCAGTTCTCCTGCTTCTTAACCCCCTGTTTTAAAATTAACTTACTTTATAAAAAACAAAAAAACTTTATTTATAGGATATCTGTTGGACACTGCAAAGTGCAATGCTGGTGAGATCTCACCCATGCACAACTTTAATTTCCCAGTGGCATCAATACAGATGCATTCACATTGGGATTGGGGGGGGGGATTCAGTTTGTTTCACATTCTAATGCACATTTACCTATTTTACCCATCCTAAAACAATACAGAAGCCAACATGCAAATGTTCTGTGAAATTCACATTTCTCCGAATTTTGCAATAAATTCCACCAACCGAAGAAATGTGAACAAAAACGCATATGTTACAGGAAAGTGGGCGTAAAAATGCATATATTGGTGAAAATAACATACAAAAATGCATCATACTGGGTGAAATTTCTTTCTAGACATGTGTATGTTAAGCAAGATTGCATGCAAACATGAATCTGTTAGAGAATCATGCGATAAAATGCTGATCAATTTTTACTAGGGCTTTTTAAAATGTGCAAAAATGTGGCAAACCAACCCTAAGTTTGAAAAAAAACGAGAGACTGGAAGGAAATTGTTCGGTCCTAATTTGTATATGCAAATGTGATGCAATTTTTTGTGCACCTGTTCCCTAAATGCTTTAAGAATCTAGCCCTAAATACAATTTTCAGTGGGTTTCCCCCCTCCCCAAAAGAAAACACTACCATCTATCTCCATCCTGGGAGACACTTAAATCACTCTGCTAATTGGAAAATTCAGAGAACAGAGGTACGAATAATGGAGATTTTATTGTAGTAGGAAATAGCATTCCCAGTTAGTTTCTCCATCAGAGTTTTGCGGGCAGAAAATCCTTACCTACTTCTTGAAATGTGTCCCACTTATTCTGCCCCCGCCCTGTTCTGTATTAATGAGAAGCAAATCATACAGTGCTTGCTATATAAGCTCAGATCTTTTTTTTTTATAAAATAATAATAATAATGAAAAAGCGTAGGCATTGATGTACT